CAAACACCCAGAGTTAGCACGGATCCTACAGCTTAGGGGCTCAGTCCCACAAAACTGTCCCCCATGTCAAATGTCAGTTGCAAGTCCTAGACCTCCTGTGCTCTGGCCAACCAGCTATAAATTGGAGGTTCCTATGAACCTCCTCCTAAGTTTGTATAACTTGTTAGAATGATTCACCAAACTCAGGAAGACACTTTACTTATGAACAGCCAGATGAAGAGGTACACAGGGCAAGGTCTAGAAGGGTACCAAGTACAGCAGCTTCTGTTCCCGTGGGGAACTCCATCCTCCCAGTGCATGGATGTGTTGGCCAAGTTGGAAACTCATCAGATCTCATTTCAAGAGGTGTTATAGAACTTAATCTCCAGTCTTCCCCAACCCCTCCCTGGTGGGGGTGCTGCTGAAAGTTCCAACCCTACAATCAATTGGTCTTTCTGGTAACCAGTCCCATCTTGCTGCTATATAGGAACCCCACCCTAAGTTATCTCATTAGCATAAACTCAAGCGTAATAAAAAGGGATTCAATAATAAAATGTTCTACTACTCAGAAAATTCTAAAGGTTTTAAGTGCTCTTTGCCAGGAACCAGACACAAAGACAAAATACATTGCTTATGATAGCACACATACCTAGAAGGATGACCACTTATGGAAAATTGCATAGAAAAGGGTAACTGGTAGCATTTTCTAAACTCACTATGATTAAGGTACAACTCTATGTTTTCTATAATTGTACAGAAACTAATATTTTGGGGCCACACTCTTTATCTATAAGAGGCCTCTGATAATCCCTGAACAGTCTCCTTTGAGAGATTGGGTAAAGGGCAACTGCACATTCCCCCAAATTCCTTTTCTTCTTTTTATGAAAACGGGTAAATCTTGAGAGTGGTCCTGTGCCTCTAAATGAGTATGATGGAAAATGAAACCTGAAGAGGCGACAGCAGTGTTCATTATGTGAACACTGAAGTGCAGGAAACAAAACAGCAGTACAACAGTGATAAATACAACTGGACCCCAGCCTTTGGCAAGGACTTTGACGTACATTTGCTCATTTGTTTTTCTCAACAACCCTGATTGGAAGGTACTGTTAGCCTATTTGACAGCTAAGAATACTGGAGTTTGGAAAAGTTAACTTGTCCTAGATTTTATTATAAATGGCACACACAAAATTTGAATCCTGATCTGATTCTCAAGCTCTTAAATATCACGATGAACTAGAAAGAACCAAATGCAAATTGGTACCCTAGCAGTGCTGTTCTTGCCCTATGTCCCAAGATTCCAAAACTTTTATAATCTGAAAGTTTGTTGTTCTCACACATGTGAGCATGTGCTCTCTCCCTTTCTCTAGTGTCATGTGGGCAAATAGAAAAATAATAATTTCCTCAGGTGCAGTAGGTGATATCTTTCAGCCAAGTTATTTCTATTCTCAAAACTTCTCAATGCTCTCCACCATTGTATCAGTTAGGATTAAGTCTGTCTGCATGTGATAGGCAAGCTACAATAACAAAAGGGATTTTTATTTCATTCAAAATGAGTTTGGAGGCTGGGCACAGTGGCTCATGCCTATAATCCCAGCACTTTGGGAGGTGCAGGGGGGTGGATCATCTGAGCTCAGGAGTTTGAGACTAGCCTTAGCAACATGGTGAAATCCCATCTCTACTAAAAATACAAAAACTAGCCAGGTGCGATGACATATGCCTGTAATCCCTGCTACCTGGGAGGCGGAGGTAGAAGAATCACTTGAGCCGGTAGGTGGAGGTTGTAGTGAGCCAAGATGGTGCCATTGGACTCCAGCTGAGCTGACAATAGTAAAACTCTGCTTCAAAAAACATTAATTTGGAGGCAGGCAGTTTAGAGTGGCATGGTAGCTTCAGTCAACAGGGATCCAGGCTTCTCCTGTCTTTCTGCTTCATCTTAAGAATTTGGTTTTCATCCTCAAGGTCACTTAAGGGACCTATATGGTAGTTGGAGAATCTAATAGCAGAAACGGTAAAAGGGGTATCCCCAGCTGTCTGTTCCCCTTTAAGAGACTTCCCTGAAAGGCACTCATAACATTTTCACTTGTATATCATTGACCAGAACTTAATCATATCGCCATACCAAACTGTAATGGACACCAGGAAATATCTTTTATTTAAACATATTGCTGCCCCTAATATTTTAGGAGTTCTTTTACAAATAAAGTAGAAGTAAATGGATATTGGACAGGCATTTAGTAGTCTCTGCTACAACTGCCAGTGGAATTATATACAAATTTATATCAACAGACTCTAGCACCATCCTACTTAATTGGTCATTTATCTGACTCTTTGAATGCTATTCCACATCTTTATGTCTCTTCTTATACTGTTCCCTTTACATGGAATATTTCTCCCTTTCCTCTTACCATCAGCCTCTTACGTATCCTTTAAGAAACACTGGATATGCTCCTTGAAGTCACATCTGATCTTTCCAACTGATTTGGTCACTCTCACCTTCAAACTCTCACACAACGGCTCAATTAAACTTCCCAGATACCCCTTTTTTTTGTGTAATTTATTGCTCTAAATCTTTGATGTCTTTTTATTTTCTCATAGAACATGTCTGAAACGTACTCAGGTGGCAGGGCACCAAATAGTCTAGTTCTTGAGAAAACACCATGAATGGAAAGATGTTCAATTAATTAATTGATTCAGTCAACAAATAATTATAGTGATCCTATTATGCACCAGACACTGTGCTAGATGCCTGGTACATGTTTAAAAGTAAGGAGTTGTCAAAGCAAGCTTGATAGTCTCTTTTTGATTTTATTGTTGGGATTTATTTACTATTCTTATGTCTCAGTCCTTGTTATAGCTAAGTAACAGCAAAAAATCAAAGATTTCAAGAAAGCACATCTGAAAACCTAAATAAAATATTTTACCCATTAATTAATTGATTTCTTTCTGTGAATTGGGAAAATAAAGTGACTATTTGATTTTACCAATAAAATTCCTTGGTGCAAATCAAGGCACACTAATTTCACAAGAATCTAGCAAGAGAACCACCACAGTGAGTCTAAATTCTATCCCTTCAATGTTCCCTCAAATCCGTGTATTTTCTAACATTCTGTCTTAGGTTGTAAAACTACACAATACTATTCTTCAAATATCAATGAAAAGTAATGGCAAAAACCGCAATTACTTTTGCACCAACCTAATATATGCTAAAAACCTCAGATTATTTACCTTCAGCACCAGACTCTTCTCAGCTTCAAAACCAAATAATCAAGTATCTACTGAACATTTCTTTTACAAGCCAAGCAGGAAAAAGATCGACTTTCCCATGAAAGATGGGTAAAGAGCAAGAGTAGAAAGGACAGAAGAAAGTTGAAAATGGCCAGTAAACTTAGGGAAAACATCAACTCATCATAAATCAAAGAAATACAAGTTAAAACAAAAATTAAAATATTAATACTACTTCCCCCTGCTAAATTGACAAAATGTGTAAAAAATGATAATATGTAATGTTTGATGGTAGGAGGGTTTAGAGCTCTCATATGTAGCTCATGGAAAAATAAATTGTGAGAGATTGAATACATAAAGAGACAATGGCCAGACCGTATATTAAAATAGGGCCCTAACCCAGGGTCTGAAGCAACCTGCAGCAACTTGCCCAGGAAACCAAGCCATTATCTACAATAGACAACCCAGGAATCTAGCCTGACAGTCAAAATGCTGTCTCTAGTAACAATCTAGGAAACTTAACTATAACCTCTGAAACAATCAGCCTAAAATGACCAGGACTTTATTGATAGTTAACAATTTCCTTAATTTTTATCCCCGCCCTAATTAGGATCAACCAGAGAAAACCAAATATCCACCCCTAATCAATCACGTAGGTTGCCCCACTTCTAGTTAGCCCACCTGCAGCTTTCTCATGCCAACAGCCTCCAATCAGGGCCTACCTGAAGCCTTCCCTTTTTCCACCTCCCTACTCTTGTGTCTGTCTTTGAGTCTCTGCCACAATGCCAATGCCAGTGGTTGACTCTGGAGGTAAAGCTATTTAGGCCCCAGAGAGAACACATGTGTCTCAGAGATTATGTCATCTTGGCTTCTGGGCCACTGAGGCACAGGGAGTCAAAAAAGGTACTGAGGCAACCACCACATGCTGCCATTTGCGATGCACTCTGCGGATCACCAGCTACTCCAGTAAATGGGAATGTTAAAATGCCTGTCTTTGAACAAGATGCTGCAGATTCCTGAGGATTAAGAAACAGAATTCATAATGTTCAGAAACATGGAGAGGGCATCAGTCATTCTGAAGGCTGGAAGTAATACAGTGATTGTGCAGATTTTGGCCAAGGACAACTTTATATTGTGTCTTGACTTGAACATTTACCTGTTGAATATCCCCAACAAAGGTTTAACAATTAATTTATTAAATAACTGAGATTTTTTTTTTTAAATCAATGTTCACATGACAGAAGAAGACAATTTAAAGTAGGAAGCAAAAATAATAATATTATTTGTTGGCTTATAAATTGTTCTCTGGCTCTCCACTGCAAAGACTGCTTTATATTCACTGAATATACTTAAAAAGGTTAAAAAAAAAAAAAAAAAGGCAAGTACACTTTTAGAGTAAGCAGCGTTTGGTAATCACAGAGCCTTTGGCATTAGAGAAGGCTGAATTCTATTACCAGTTCTGCCCCTTACTAGATGCACGACTTTTGAGCTACGGTATTCTCCCCTGTAAATGGGAATGATAGTAGGGATTACTGTGAGGATTAAATGAGATAATTTATGCAAAGCCACAAACCGAGGGTGTGATATAGTAAGCGCTTAATAAATACTAGAATAACCACAGAAACAAGAACAATAAAATAAGCTATAGTATTAGTAATGGTTATGTTCAGATTCTTCAAAGCAGAACTACACTGAGCTAGGAGAATTGGCAGCAGAAATGAGCCCCAGTAAGTCCGTACCCTAGAAGAGATTTCCAGGCTCAGATGAAGCTAAAACTACATTTCCCAGAAGGCCCAGGGCCCAGTGTCTGGCTGCCTCTCATTTCCGGGTCTGTCATGTGACTCTCCGGTCGCGCCATGGCGGAAGCAGAGGAGCAGGTAAAGAGTGCAACTGCTAGTTGAGGGCACAGGGATGTGGAGACCAGAGTGGGCTATTTGGGGAGGGTGGAGTGGAGTGGGTAGAGGTGCGGAGCTGCTAGAAGAGGGCAAGCAGGCCCGCGGCAGGGCGGGGTGGGAGGGCGAAAGTTCCTTTCCGAGAGCAGAGACGATGCCAGCCCGGGGAGGGCACCTGGGGAAAGCGTACGGACACACCCCCGCGTTCGGGAGGCGGCCTTTCCTTGGGCCCCCTATTCCTGTGGCCTTTGCCCAGTGAAATTTTGGCAAGAAGGCCGGGCTACCCCAGGGACTGGTTACCTGTGGGAGGCGGAATAGAGGCCAGGTGATTGAAATTTAAGTTGCCTTCCACTTGAAGTAGGACAGTAAGAACTAGGAGAGAGGAGATGATGAGTCTTGTTTTGTATCTGTTGGATTTAGGTACAGAACTGAAGCACAGTTGCGGTGCAGCAGGGATTAAGTGCATCGGTTTTGGAGCAAAAATGCCTAGGGTCCAAGTGCTGGTTCCTTTTCTTACTCAATGTGTTACTTTGAGCCACTTATTTAACTTTCCAGTGTTAAGATGGGGATAATAATAGGGCCATCCTCAGGGGCTGGTTTAAGATAGAGTTTATACACAAAGTTAGAGTCCTTAGAACTCTTGGGCTCCATAAAGGTTAAATGGGATTATTTGTTGCTGGCAGGTCATGAACTGGCAATATCCAGTCAACAACTGGCAATGTGGCACTGGAGTTTAGGGTAGAAATGAGTGATGGGATTATGAATTATTTTCATGTAGCAATAGTGGTAATCACACATTATATGGAATGACATAGTAAAAAGAGAAGCAGACCAAAAAAGAGGCCAGAACTTAGGGGAGGTAAAGTTTCCATTTCCAGTGTTATTTCAGTAGGATACTGTTTTTCCTTACTAGTTAACAGGGCTGTCGGTTGCAGTGATTGTCTCTAAATAGTGACTTGATGATGGTCTGTTTAGAATCCTAAGAGAAAATTTTTACTATTTTCAACACACTTCATTCGTTTTTACTTCATAGTGAAAATTTGTTCTGTATGTTTTATGTATGCCAGTAATAAAGACATTTGACTAGGTAGAAATTTGTTTTGGCTGGTCATTGTGATAACAAGATAACAAAATATCTTACCTAACAGTAGAGCCTCCCTTTTCCATTTTAGCAGTTCAAAGGAAATCACTCATTAAGAACATGTCATTTCATGACTGCCATCACTCGTTTGAATGAGGATGAGATTGTTTTTCACATTGTGCATCTTTATTTCATGTTGGAATTTTGTTTCATGGTTTGATTTAAAAGCAAAAAACTTTTTTTTTTTCTTATAGTGTAATAAAGAAATGGTGAGAATTGTTCTTAGAAAAACCATTGTTTTATTCCCTTGGAAAAAACCTTTGAAATATTTACCACTGTTTAGTGGAGAAGAAATTTGACAAAGTTGTCTGATGTAAAAATCACACATACAAAGTTAGAGATATAATAATGTTTCACATTTGTACATTATATTCTAGTTTTAAAAACCCTTCCATATTGCATTTGGTCCTCCCAAATGAGGTAAATGTTTATTCTTATACATGGGTGAAACACCTCTGATGTTCCAGACCTTCCAGTGGCTTCTCATCTTGTTAAGAGGAGAAGCCCATATCCACTACAGTAGCCTGATTGCGCCACAGGAACTTGACCCAGCTGCCCTTAGCCACCCTTTCTTGACCTTGTTTTTCCAACTACTTTCCTCTTTCCCCTCTGTGACTCTGCAACAGCTTATTCTTCAAAAAGCCAGGCAGGTTCCTACCTCAGGGCCTTTGCTCATGCTGTTCCTTTTTGAGGAACCCTGATATTTACAGGCTTTATTCCTCATTTCCTTCATGTCTTTGTCCAAGTGTTCTTTTACAGTGTGACCTTCCCTGACCACGCTTTGGAACCTTCCTGCATTATTTTTCACTATAATGTGCATCACTGTTTGACATACTGTATTTTAAAATTTGTTTGTTTGTTTGTTTCTGTATATTTCTGTGTACCTCACCACAGAGCTTGGAACATAAGCTCCATCATGACAAGGCTTTGTTCACTGCTGTATGTCCAACACCTAGAACATTGCTTGGTACTTAATATGTGTTACATGATTGATTTTTACTGATAGCAAATTGAAATTCAGGCAATGTGAGTAACTTGCTCAGGCCTATATCTATAATATAATAAATCAACAGTCCTCTGTCTCCAAAGTTCATGACTTTTCACTAGAATACCCTACCTTTTTAAATATACATAAGAACCTAAATCTAAATCATGTTTTTACTTTATAAAGTACAATTAGCCCTTTTCATTTTAATGATTTTCCCTCGAGCCATCATCCCACCTTTGATGCTTTAAAAGCCAATATACAATTGGAGCGGCATTCTCCTCCCCAATGGTGTCACTATCTTTCTTAAAAAGACCACTGGTGGGCCAGGCAAAATGGCTCATGCCTGTAATCCCAGCACTTTGGGAGGCCGAGGTGAGGTGACTGCTTTAGCCCAGGAGTTTGAGACCAGCCTGGGCAACATAGCAAAACCCCATCTCTACAAAAATTACAAAAATTAGCGAGGCATGGTGGTGTGCACCTGTAGTCAGAGCTACTGGGGGCTGAGGCGGGAGAATCACTTGAGACAAGGGATTGAGACAGCAGTGAGCCATGATCGTGCCACTGCACTCCAGCCTGGGCAACAGGGCAAGCAAGACCCTGTTTCAAAAAACAAAACAAAAACAAAAAAACCCAAGCAGTCTTTTGTAAATGGCTGAAAAAAACAAACATTCACTAATTGTTCAGTTGTTTTTTAAAAGAAAGGTAGCAAGTAATTGTACCTACTCTTGTCCTTTATAGATTAAAAATGGCTAGGCTTTTCTCTGTTTTTTTTTTTTTT